GCCACCCAACACACCGCCCCCCCCCCCCCCGCCGCAAAGCCCCCCGCCCCTCCTCCACTTCAAGACCCAACTACCTGCCCTTCCTCTTTCACCGCCAACGAAATCTCCCTCCTCTCCTCCCTCCCCTCTTCTCCCCTCCTCGTCAATCTCATCGGCCGCGCAGCCGCTGCCGAACCCATCGCCATCGTCGAGTTCATGCCCAACGGCTCTCTCGACGATCTCATCCACCGTTCTCCCTCGACTTTCCCTCTTCCTCTCCGCATCCGCCTCGCCCTCCGCGCGGCTACTGCAGTTGCTTCTCTCCACCGCCTCCGCCCTCCTGTCCTCCACCGAGACATCAAGTCGTCCAATATCCTTATCGACGGTGAGGGACGCGCTCGGCTTGCCGATTTCGGGTTGGCGGTCCGCGGGCTGCCTTCGGAGGCTGCGCCGGCGGGGACTATCGGCTATCTGGATCCGGCTTACTCATCTCCAAGGGATCTTAGTGTTAAGACAGATGTGTATAGCTTTGGGGTTGTTCTGCTGGAGTTAATATCGGGGCGGCGGGCGATAGATGTTGAGTATTGCCCAGCTTCGGTGGTGAGCTGGGCGGTCGGGCGTATAGAAGCGGAGTTGTTTGATGGGTTGTGGGATCTGAGATGTGGTGGTCCGGGAAGCGCGGAAGAGGAGGCGGCTAGGTGCGAGGTGGCTCGTTTGGCGGGGAGATGCGTGGGATCTGCGCCGGAGGGGAGGCCGACGATGGAGGAAGTGGTGGCTTGTTTGAGATCGGCGGGGGAATGCTGGGTTTTTGGGGGACGGGAAGTGTTGGTGGTGGGAATCCGCGAGGCACGGGAAAGTTGCGGATTTTATGGCGGCAGTCCCACAAGCTAAGTATAGCGCCAAAAAACAGTATTGAAGTTCTTGACTGGACATCTCTCTTAAAAGTTCTTTTGGAGGTGATAAGTGGTATCATAGTAGATTACTACCTACCAGCTATGTGAACTCTCTCTGGTCCAATGAAACCCTCTAATCCTTGACGAGACCGTCACGAGGCCGTCACGTGATTGAGTGGTGGAGAATAACAGTATTTAAGTTTGTTAATAGCACTTTTGAGAGGTGACGGGTGACTGCAGAGAAATTTTTAGGGGCAGGTTATTTGTATTATGTAGTCATGGTTGGCTGGAGATCATATAGATAGAATACGGGTGTGAATAATTGTGGATTAATTCTTTGTATAATTCGCTTGGAATGATTTCGCACTAGAGAAGTTGGAGCGGGATTGAAACGGGAGGTAGAGCGGTCATATTGTGTGGTCTACTTCGATGGTGACATGTCGAGGTGAAAGGTTGAAAGTTTGCTAAATTTAAAATTTATTGAATTTAAATTTGAATGATTTTAAAGTGTTATTTTATTATGGCTATCATGTCAAATGGCTATCATGTCAACTGTCGTTTATTAATAAGATTTTTATTAGTGTTGAATTTATAGCTATGTTTATTTGAAATAAAATAAAAATGTCCGCATTAAAATTATTTTTTTTCAAATAAACTCAAAAAAATAATATTATTCATTTAATTTTGACATAATTAAATAACTCTAAAAGCCTTTACTATAATATATTAAAAAAATTATTTACTTAATTCTATATATTTTTTAACAAATTAAACGATCTCCTATGTAAATTACTATATCACAAGGAAATAGTAGTATTTTTATTCAAAATTTAACGGTGTTAATATTTATACATCTTCAAAAATAAAGTTATTTTATCAAATGTGAACCTTAACGCATGTTGAATGTCAGTTTGAGTCAAAATAAAATTCATCTCATCTTTGATATCAATAAATTAATCGTCAAACTAAACATCTTCATAATATAAATACAACAACATCAAAAGAAATTTGATTCAAGTTAAAATAAGCCTAGATCTATCATTCAACATATAATTGGAAGTTCTTGTTGCGAGAGTTGAATACCAGTTGTTGTGGTATATCGAAATAGAATACGAGAACAATCTTTGAAGCGAAAAATTGAATGAAAAAATTCACACTAGAAAACACTAACACAGCGGAACACAAATTTACGTGGTTCGGCAAAATTGCCTACGTTCACCGAGTTGTAGAGGTTTTTATTACTTGAGGAATTTACACTAGCCGATCGTCTCGACTTACGAGAGGAATCTCTCACTTTGTTGCTCTCTCTTCTTCTCTCTCTATTCTTCTCTCTCTACACCGAGATACATCAAAGAAACTCTACACCGAGATACATCGAAGAAGATAAACTGACAAGAGAAATAAACTCAAATTCTCTTCAGCCACAAGCCACCAAGAAGAAGCCAAGGGAGAAAAATCTTCTTCTTCTTCTTTCTTCTTCCTTCACCGCAAGAAACTACTTCTTGCACTTTTCTTACTCTGTCCCGATGAAATCCGAAGAAGAACACTAAAATCATTACTTCTAAAAACTACAGGAGGCCACTCCTTTTCATGATAAAAGGAGGCGAAGTTACGCTTCCGGGCTAAGGAAAGGCGGGAGACGCGAGCGGTTCGCGTAACAGCAGGGGTCGCTGATACACCGAAAATATATGCATTTTTAGACACATATTTTATACTCATTTTTGGTGATATTGCACTTTAATGGAAGGTATTTTTATGTTTTCTTGCAGGTTGTTGATTTTTAGGGCTTAAAACAAAAAGAAAGCAAAAAGGATGAAATTTGGAGTCAAAATGACATTTTTGAAGAAACGCTCAGCGCCGACGGCGCAGAACAATTTAACGCTGGAGATTTTTACTCAACACTGATGGCGCCAAAGGCGGTGCAGACTCCGTTTCTAGAAGGTTCAATGTATTTGGATGACTTTTTGAAGAGTATTTGGAGGTACCTTTTGGAGAACCAACCTTGGGCTCTATTTAGGGCCAATTTTTATTAGAAAATGAGCTTCTTTACATTTTTCACTCATCTACGCTCATTTTTCGCTCCACATCATTCCATTTCACTACTATATGGGAGTCAATTAGTGATTTTGCTTTCATAGTTTAGAGTTTTTGTGGTGAGATTTAGTGTAAAACTTTCTGAAAGAATGTTGGAGAAGGAGAAAAGTGAGAGAATTCTTCTTCCCGCATTTCTAAGGAAATGCTACAAAGAATTTGCTTTAAGAAAGAGTTTCAGATAAGTTTGTTTGTTTATTTAGTGTTGTATAAACTTTCTTTTATATATGAAATTTGTCTGGCCAATTGATTTGTTAAAATATGTTGTGAAACATATGATCCGGGAAATGAAGTATGAGTTCTACAACAGAGTGAGAATCACATTTAATTTCATGAAGGAGAAACTCAATCATGAAATTAAGTGCAAATAAATAGGGAAATATTCTTTGTTGGGTGTAAAATTGGAGAATCTTTAGGGTGACAGACTAAAATCCCCAATTTGGTCTTAGGGTTTAAAAACTAAAGCGAGAGTTAGCCTTCAGGTGAAGGAAAGTGGGAGCTCTGGAGTAGGAGCCGGTATCCTCCTAGTGTAGCCACAGATTTAAGGACTAAACCTATGATTAGCCAATGATTTCCTATGCACTTTATCAGGGTAGAGAATTAAAATTGCTTCTATTTGATACAATACATATTAAAAACATTTATCTCATCTCATTTCTCCAAAATTTCATGGTAGTGGGAATGATGTTTTTTCACATAAGAAATCTTCATTACCTGAACATAGTTCTTATATTAGTATTTAATATTTAAAAGTTGCATTTCCGTTTTTGCTAATAGTTATGTAATTTAGTTTGTTTAATATCTCAACATTCAAAATTAGTGACAGTGATTTCGTTTTGATTTTCGGTAAATTTTATATTAAAATTTATAATTGCTAACTTACACCTTCCTCGTGGGATCGATATTTGGGGCTTAAATAGAAAGTTCATTATTACTTGATAACGATACATATATTTGCGTAGAATCCCATTATTAATTTTCTATAATTATATATATTTTACACAACTTACTTTTCATAAAAGGATCAAGTTTTTGGCGATGTAGTGGTGTCAACTTCATAAATCCTCACATATAAAAATTTGGGATCGTTTTTGGCACCATTGCTTGGGAAGGTAATGGTTAAATTTAATTAAATTAAATAGTTTTGATAAATTAAGAAATTTTGATTATATATATATATATATATA